GTGGTTCCTAACCCTGGTCCTTGAGGAACACCATCCTGCATGTTTTAGGGTGCATTCACACCAGCCCTGTTTAGTCCGCTTTAATCAAACTCTAGCTCGTTTTCCTAGAAAGTCTGGTTCGTTTAGGGAGGTGTGAACGCGCCATAGAACTCTGTCACGGAACAAAAAGGCGAACTCTGGCCCGGGCTAAAACCTAGGTCTCGGTCCAGTAGAAGAGAACTCCAGCGCGGTTCAAGTACAGTGTGAATGTAAACAGACCGGACCCCGCTCCACAGGATAAACAAACATGCATTTCTCTGACTTTATATGGAGCCGTCAGCTGCCTTGTGTGGAAAAACAATATTCTCCATGGTCTTCTGTCTCATCTTCTGCTCATGCTAAGTCCATTTTTGAAAAATGACAAATATAACTCCTAAAACTGCTAAAACTTGATGCCACTTTGTTTTTTGTTTTTATTTACAGAAGAAGAAGAAGATGTGTCTTCAGAGGTTTTTGTGTCGTTTCTTTCAGTAGTTCTTGGAGCAGCGCCCCCACAGGCGAGCGGGGGAATAGGTTGGTTCAACAGGTTGGCTCGACTGCACAGTGCAGTGTGAATGCAAACGCACCAGCTCAAATGTAAACAAAAGGTCTTGAATATTGGTCCCCAACCGAACCGAGTCTACCGGACTATCAGGTGTGAAAATGACCTTAGTTGTTTCCCTGCTTTGACACACCTGATTTGAATGAATGGGTGAATAATAGATCTAAAAAAAGTTAAATCTGGTCCTCTGGACATTCAAAAAAACAAAACAACGCAAAACAACAAAAAAATGTAGAAACGTTTCGTCTTTCATCCGAAAGACTTCCTCAGTCTGAGGTACTGTATTCAGCTCAGTCTCTTAAATAGCACCTTCTCAGAGTGGCTCAACCAGTTTGCTGCTGACAACCAAAACCAGCTGCTCATATGGTCAAGAAGGACCATCGGCCTAACAATGGATCATTAGCACACTGATGGCTGTTTACTATTCACAGAGGGCTGAGTGATACTAGCAATATCAGCATTGTAAGAGGGGGACAATTGAACATGTAGGCCTCCACCCCTGTTTAATGATGGATGGCCTCCTTTACTCCTCTCAAACCATCGTTCTTCTCTATCCAGGATGTGAACATCTTCATCCCTGAAAGAGTGACCGCTGGCCTGGAGATGAGTGTAGACCGCAGAGTCGTGGCCTGATGTTGTTGCTCTTCTGTGCTGGGCCATCCTTTTGGCCAGTGGCTGTTTAGTTTCCCCAATGTAAGCCTGATCACAGTCCTCCTGACACTGAACAGCATACACAACATTACTCTGTTTGTGCCGGGGGACTGGATCTTTGGGATGAACCAGTCTTTGCCGTAATGTATTTTGGGGTTTAAAAGCCACTGGGACGTTATGTTTAGAAAATAAATGTCTCAGTTTCTCTGATACCCCCTCAACATACGGAATGACCACTGGTCTGGGTCTGGGTTCCTCCTTTTCACCTGATGGCTGACTGGAGTCCTGTTTGGGTTTCTTCTCTGCTTTCAGGAAGGCCCAGTTAGGATATCCACATTGCTCTAGAGCCTGTCTTGTGTAGGATTTCTCCTTTTGCTTGGCTCCTGAGTTAGTGGGGACGCTGTCTGCTCTGTGGTACAGAGTCCTGATGACTCCTAACTTGTGCTCCAGAGGGTGATGGGAGTCAAACTGCAAATACTGGTCTGTGTGCATGGGTTTGCGGTACACCTCAGTTTGCAAATGTCCTCTATCAGAGACTGAGACCTCACAGTCCAAGAAAGCCAACTTGTCATTTTTTACATCTCGTGTGAACTTGATGTATTTATCCACAGAGTTGATGTGGTCAGTAAAATGTTGGACTTCCTGAGATTTAATTTTAACCCAGGTGTCGTCAACATACCTGAACCAATGACTTGGTTGTGTCCCTGAAAAGGACGTCAAGGCTCTCTTTTCTACCTCCTCCATGTACAGGTTGGCAACAATAGGAGAAACTGGAGACCCCATAGCACACCCATGTTTCTGCCTATAATACTGACCCCCATATGTGAAGTAGGTTGACTGCAGGCACAGTTTCAAGAGTTGACACAGTTGTTCTGTGGAAAGCGTGGTCCTGCTCCTCAGAGTGGTGTCTGATTTTAATCTTAAACTGACCACCTCTACTGCATCATCAACAGGAATACACGTAAAGAGTGATGTGACATCAAAAGAGACCATTGTTTCATCAGTCTCCATGACAACATCCCTCACCTTATCCACAAAGTCCATGGTGTTCTGTATGTGGTGTTCTGAGCTGCCAACTAAAGGGATGAGTACAGATGCCAGATATTTGGAAACATTGTAAGTGACAGAGTTAATCATGTTAACGATTGGTCTTAAAGGTACACCTTGTTTGTGGATTTTAGGTAAACCATACAGACTAGGTGTGGCCTCCCCTGGGTACAGTCTGTGGTACAGAAAACGGTCAATAGCCTTGTCCTGCTCCAAAATTTTCAGGCAATCTATTAACTTCTTCTTGTAACCACTTCCTGGATCTCTTTTCAGAGGTTCATAAGTGATTTTAAGTCACTAAGGAGTGTCATAACTTTCTCATGATAATCTTTCTGGTTCAAAATCACTGTGCACCTTCCTTTGTCTGCTGGGAGAATGATGATGTTTTTGTCCTTGCTAAGAGTGGTGAGTGCATCCCTCTCCTCTCTACTGATGTTGGAAGGTGGTGGTTTGGCATTGCTGAGGCAGGATGAAACTTTGATTCTGAGCTGTTCTGCTTCAGCCTCTTTCATTTTGTTGTTGCGGATGGCTGATTCTGTGGCTGTGATCATCTCCACCAGAGGAATTCTACTTGGTGCAACCGCAAAGTTCAGTCCCCTGGCAAGAATCCCTGTCTCCGGCTGGGTGAGCTGTCTGTCAGATAAATTCTTCACCCACTTTTCTGTCTCCCTGGCATGTAATTGACTACTGGAGTGTTGTCCTACACTGAATGTGTTGTTATTGGAATTTTGAATGTTTTTTTGAATGTCCAGAGGACCAAATTTAACTTTTTTAGATTTTTCTACCTAGATTATTGAGCATGCATCAGGTGATTAATAGACTTCTGCAGACCTTGATGAAGTAATTAAATCACTGAATCAGGTGTGTTGGAGCAGGAAACAACTGAAACATGCAGGATGGCGTTCCTCAAAGACCAGGGTTAGGAACTATGACAGTTCATCCTAAACAGCTGATCAGTACTGATGCTTATTGTTTGCGTTAAAACAAGTTGTGTGTCTTTGGTAAAGTGGTAGCTCTGCCTGTCTTGGACATTGCACTCATTTTCTGTATTTTGCTTTTTGCCAGTTTTGTTAGAAGCTGGGTTGTGCATCGTTTGTTGTTCTGCAGGGTTTTGGAGTCTCGTAACACTTTTTTTTTCTGAAATGTGACCATATGTCAAACTGCAAGTGCCCTATTTAATGTCTTGAATGAAAAACGTACTACACTGGACGTGAGGAATATCAGCTGGGTTTTAAAGCTAGTTGCAATCTTTCAGTCCAAGGGAGAAGCTCTGAATCTTTTTGAATATTTTAAGCTTCCATTATTCACAAAAGCCTAATATTTTAGCAGACCACTTCAATTATATCAACACAAGAATTCAATTATTACTGCCTAAAACAGAACAGACCTTTTGGATTTCAGGAACTACAATATTCACACTGAATTCAGCTGATTCAAATGTTGCAGGACAACACAGCAAATAAACTAAAACATTCTCCAATCGCGCAGAGACTAAAGAAATGCAGTAACATTTGTGTATAATATATGTGATAGAAGGGATTTTATTCCATGTCTCCTTTCTAATATTTTGGTCTTGCCATCAAATCATCCAGATTGTAACTGGAATAAATCCTTGAATACTCCAAATACGCAAGGAGTCTGTGTGTAACTGAGTGTGTTCTAACCTGACAGTCCAGGGTAAGCTGGGATGGATGTGGGCGTGGTGGGATAACAACATACAGGCTGTTACAATGCTAAATTTAATTACGTTTATAGAAAATATACATACAGGACAAAATGCATAAGCCTACGTCAGCTCAGGTTAAGAAGGTCTTTTGGGGGAAATAGCAGAAAAGCTTTAGATGCATTTAATTAACAAGGGATTTTCTGTTTCATTTGCTTTGTTTTCCATTTTTGTTTCATTTCATTTATTTTTTTATTTTTGATAAAACATACAGTTCATGTAAACCAGCCAAATAAGTCAATAACATGTATATGATGAAGGAAGATGACCACCTCCTCCTACATTTGGAGTTTGAGATCTGGGCTCTACAAGCTGCTGAGGTCCAGAGAGGGTTAGATTAGAGTCTGGATCTCTGCCTCCTCCCAGTCCTGATGAGATTAGGAAAGTACTAAAGAGCTCTGGGGGTGAGGGGAGGCAGAGCTCCGAAACACTGAAGCTGAAGAGAGGAGGGGCACGGCAGTGGGGCAGGAAGAGAAGGCAGAGGGCGCTGAATTCTCAGTGCAGATGAGGGAGAACTTTGAGCCCACAAGACAAGATTTGTCATGACGATGAGCCCGTTTTTATTGACCTTGTGCTCAGTCTGTGTGCTCGCGTGTCATGCTTCTGGTGTTTTCAGTGAATTCTGATAAAGGAACAATGATTTGAAAAGTCATCCCTCATGTTCAATCCCACAGGCAGGCTCATCAGAAGAAAAAAAAGGTCTAGTTTATGCAGGAACGGACCACAATGACAAATCTACACACGTTAGCGCCCCTGACATCCTCCATAAAGCTATCCGTTTGCTTTTGTTCATAATGAAGTTTCTTAATATCACCTTCTGCTTGTTTATGCTGCAAGTGAAATGTCCTGAATCTCTGACTCTGTTCAGTGGAGTTCTTCTAAAGTTGTGATCTAACGTGTGAAACCTTTGACCGTGTTAAATGTTGAACATGACATGAGTGTGCTGTAACGTTACGAAGCTGCATGAGATAAGGATTAATCGGACTCTCTCTCTTTCAGTAAACCATGCCGAGCTGATGCTGAAGTAACAGCAGCTGGCAGTGGGAGTATGTGTTAAGGATTACCTCCTGAAGTTTTACTTTGAGCCCACGGATATTCCCCTTCGACTGTTGGGAGGACTTTGCGTCAGCAATGGGGAGGAAGAAGATTCAGATCACCCGGATTTTAGATGAGAGGAACCGACAGGTCAGTGTCCCCAAGCAAAAATAAACTTGTGTACGTATGTTCTGTGTAAATGAGGCTGCAGTAGTGTAGAAGTTACTCAAATCTTTCTCTGTGCGAGAGAATGGTTTTAAGTTGGAAAAACAACAACCAACTGCAGTTTTTGTTGCTGTTTCAGTTTGATGATGTGGAGTTCTTGAGCCAAAACAAGTCCCAATGAGTTCTAGCAGATGCCAGTTAACATTTGATCGTTGCGTCCATCCATTTTTAACATCCACTGCTGAACAGATGCTGCTGCAGATGCTGCTTGAGTTAGTTCAAGTTCAAGAATCTTTATTATCCCCAAGGGGCAATTTGTTTCACAGTCAGTAGTCACACAAACCATCCATACTAGACAAGACATTAAGACATTAAAATAACAGACTATCATTGTTCGTTGAGAAGCCTGATCGTTACAGGGATGAATGAGTTTATCAGTCTGTTCGTTCTACATCTGAGCTGCAGATACCTGCGTCCAGATAGAAGCAACCTGGACTCACCATGGAGTGGATGATCAGGATCTGCCAGAATCAGCCTGGCCTTGTTCACTGACCTCGCCTTGTGTAGGTCAGTAAGGTTCTGTAGGGGCTATACCAGCAGTTTTCCTGCACATCCTGACAATCCCTGAGAGTTTGTTCCTGTTTTTGCACGTTAAAAGTCCAAACCAACAGTTGAAGGTGAAAGTTAAAAGTTATTGTAAAGAACTGACACCACACTTCAGATACAAACCTCACAACGATGAACCCCGAGCACACAAGATGATCATCCGTGAAACTAATTCAGATGCTTGTTCTTTAAGGAACCCATTGAAGAGCATCTTTAGTTCTCCTCTAAAGCTTCTGAAGCATCCTTTAACGTCTGAGAACGCAGAGTGCCCAGCTGGTGGCGAGGCCAGCAATTTTGGTTTAGCTGGGTTCGAACAGCACCCTGTCATTAGCAGGGCGGGTCAGCGTCAGGGACACACAGCGGCCTTCTCTCCTCACGTCTCTTAGCGCAGCCACACCGCTGCCCACTGGAATCCCTCACTGTCTGTCTCCTATATATATATCAGCACCAGCAGCACAACAAATACCAGCCTGTCTGGCAGGAGGGCGCAGGCTCTGGAAATAGAGATGTGGCTGGAAAATAAATATCTGGGATGATGTTTACATTTGATGTTTGGGCTTTTTTTTAAAAAATTTTTTAGATATACACTACTTGAGTTGTCTGGTGTGTACTGTCGCTGATGCTTGTCATATATTTAGCTTCTGTGCTTTATTTTAGGAAGTCATCTTGTGGTTTTCTTTTCATCTGTCAAGCACATCAATTATTTTGACAGGTGGTCAGGCTTTTTAAGTTTATCTCACAGTTATGCAGAATATATCACAACAACATTACTGTCTGCCAGAACACATAAACAAATCATTTTGAAATCATGTTCAGGCGATTTGCACTGTGTTTTATGAACAAATAATATCTTACCTGTCAAAGATAACACTCTGGATAGCTTCTCTTTTAGATTTTAAATCTGACCAGACTGACAAACTAACAGGGAGTGCTTTTACATCAAATTTAGATTCTTCAACTGAATGCAGAGCATTTTCCCATGAAAAAAAAAGACAAAATTATTATTATAGAATTAATGAATTATCAGAATTAATTAGAATTTAGGGATGCACAATAATGGATTTTTGGCCGATATCCGATATGCCAATATGTTAAAATTTATTTAGCTGATAACTGATACTAATACTGACGTTTTTTTCCTAGACCTACTTACAGAGACTACATAACTTTCTCTGCTGTGGAATTAAAATACTGCATTATTCTGCATGGTTTTTGTCAATTTGGCCTGCTACCAAATGCAGATGCCTAAAAGGGGGCTGAAAATCAACTTGGATTATGTTTAGTGTCAAATTTATTTATGATATTTACTCTCTATAACATGACAACACTCGAACAGTCATTCAAAAACAGCATCTTTTACATCTGTGATTTATTTAGATGGAATGGCCGATGTCCGATATTTAACTTTATTGCTAATATCGGCTGATACCGATACATGCAGATAACATCATGCATCCCTATTAGAATTATAATATTTTGTCCTAACCCAGCCCTCACACATGCAATACATTCACAATCACAACCATTCTCATCGTAAAAGAAGCATTTTTCTTACACATTAAGATTGCTTGAAGCATCATGGAATATAATCAGTTAAAGAATAAATACAGTTTCTGTAAGGCACCCACCTGTCTGAGGAGTGTCACAGCAACGCGTGAGGCATGTGGATTACTGGAAAAGAGTTTTTCTTGATGAATAAAAAATATTTTTGTACAGCATTCAGATTAGGAAACATTTGTCTTGATGCATGTTTGGATTTAGAGGTTAACCTGTATGGCTTTAAGAAAACATAATGATATTACCTTTGATTTAAAATTATGGCATGTCAAGTTGTCCTTTTTATCTATTCACTGCATGCTGCTGCATCCATATATAGATTATTGGTAGTGTTAGATTTACCTATTAAAATATTTTAGGAGGCTCAGTTAATGTAAATATTTTGATCCACCTGATTGGTTTTGGTTCCTATCATATACAGAGGTCTCAAACAGGACTCAGTCTGTCCATAAGATGTCCTCAGATCTGCCTTCAACAGGTGTCCTTAGGGGTGGGTTATTGTCTTGCCCACATTCTGCGTGGGACTGCACTGTTTATGGTCCCCATCCTTTAAACATTATGAACAAAAGTACATCCAGAGCTATGTTTTAGCTAACCTGCCTCCAAACAATGAAGCGCACAATAGACAGAAGCCTGCATAAGAGCCGCTGCCTGCTGACTGTAACAGAGATTTCTGCAGGCATTTGATAAACTGTATCAGGAAAATGTTTCCCTAAAAGTGTGTTTTGTGTTTTTATCACAGGTCAGGTCAGGTGGTGGGACATGATCTACTGGTATGTCTGGTGGACAATAGCTTGTAATGGGTCTGACAGTGGGCAGTACGGTGGCACAGTTGGTAGAGCTGCTGCCTCTCAGCGAGCAGGTTACCTTGGTTCAAATCCCAGTCAGGGGGCCTTTCTGGGTGGAGTTTGCATGTTCATGTGGGTTTTCTCCGGGTACTCCGGTTTCCTCCCACGGACCAAAAACATGCATGTTAGACTGATTGGTGACCCTAAATTGTCCCTAGGTGTGAGTGAGAGAGTGAATGGTTGTTTGTCTTTACGTGTCCCTGTGATGGACTGGAGACCTGTCCAGGGTGTACCCTGCTTCAGTGTTGGCTGGACATGGGCATCAGTGACCCTGCGACCCTAAAAGGAAGAAGCGGGTAAAATATAATGGATGTATGGATGGATGGGTCTGTCAGGCTAAACATCCGGCTGTGGATCTGCTAAACTGGACTCGTAAATGCTTCAGTTTTTAAAAAAGATGCCATTTTCTTTTACATAGAGCAATTTAGTCAAGTCAAGTCAAATTTATTTATAGAGCACATTTAAAACATAAACTGTTACCCTGATGCATGCTCAATAATCCAGGTAGAAAAATCTACCGAAACGTTTCTACATTTTTTGTTGTTTTGCTTTGTTTTGGTTTTTTTTGAATGTCCAGAGGACCAGATTTAACTTTTTTAGATAAACTGTTACCAAAGTGCTTAACAAAAATATCACAACATCAAATAAAAAGTAGCAAGATATATTTACAGCACATGGAATAAAAATATAAAACCAAAAACAATTAGAAACAATGAAATGCTAAATCAGATCACGATGTGTCAAAAGTCAAGGAAGTAATAACAAAAAGCATAAACTTGATCAGAAACAATGAAATACTAAATCAGATCTGATGACCTTGTGTTAAAAAGGAATAATAACAAAAGCATAAACAGAATCAGCATCAATAAAAAACTAGATCTAAATCCGATCACCCTGTGTTAAATGTCAATGAGTATAGGTGTGTATTTAGGAGAGCTATAAAAGCAGAGACTGAGGTGGCCTGTTGAATGTTGATGGGCAGATTGTTCCAGAGTTTAGGGCCCACGACTGAAAATGCTCGATCTCCTCTGAGCTTCAGCCTGGTTTTTGGTATGGCCAAAAGCTGCTGATCTGATTATTCCAAAGCCCGAGAAGGAGTATAAGGATGAAGAAGGTCGGAGAGGTATAATGGTGCAAGGCCGTTAATGCACTTAAATGTCAGCAGGAGAATTTTAAAATCAACTCTGACACGCACAGGAAGCCAGTGAAGAGAGGACAAAACTGGAGTAATGTGCTCAAACCTGCGCGTTCCTGTTAGTGTCAAGATCAGGTGGACAGGAACGAACCCAGTTGTGCAGACAGGACTCAACTCGGCAGATTAAAAAAAACTAAATACTTTAATGGCAAAATAAAAAGGTAACAAAACAATAAGCTGACGTGGCAGCAAAACTTACATGAACCAGAAGACTCAGGGAGAAACTCACAAGGACTCAGGAAGCTCAGGGAAAACTCAGGAGACGCAGGAAACATGAAGAACCAACGAATACGACCCGACAAAGGAACAACACAGAACAGGAGGCTTATATACAAGGACAAGACAAGACGTGATTACAACAGGTGTGACGAGACAAAGGTGGCAACAATTAAACTGACGAGGAAACACTAGGGAAACACAGACACAAACAGAAACAGCAAATGGTACCATCCTTACAGTTAGTAGCTGAGCTGCAGCATTTTGTACGAGCTGGAGACGTGAAAGTGAAGCCTGACTAACCCCAACATAAAGCGAGTTACAGTAGTCCAGCCGGGTTGTAATAAATGCATGGACTTTCAAGGTAGGATCTGGACAGAACGGACTGAAGCTTTGCTATTTGCCTTAGCTGAAAGAAGCTTTTTTGTAGAACAGAGTTGATCTGTTTATTAAACTTAAAGTCCGAGTCTAACACTACCCCGAGATTGGTAACCGACTGCTTTAGATGAGGCTGAAGGGAGTGCAGGTTTACAGGATCAGTGACAGTGGTAGAGCTTGGGTTAAACACAATGACCTCAGTCTTCTGATCATTAAAACTCAAGAAGTTTGCAGCCATCCAAGTCTTGATGTCATCAAGACATTTTAGCAAAGGGTGGATGGAGCAGGAACTGTTGGGTTTTAAAGGCAGATAGATCTGAGAATCATCGGCGTAACAGTGAAACGAAATACCATGTTTCCTCAGGATTGACCCCAAGGGGAGCAGATACAATGAGAACAGAAGGGGTCCAAGAATGGAGCCTTGTGGGACCCCACAGGAAAGAGGGACAGAAGCAGAAAAATGATTGTCAAAGTTAACACAGAAACTCCTGTCACCCAGATACGAACGGAACCATTCTAGCGCCACCCCTGTAATCCCAACCCAGTGTTCTAGCCGAGACATAAGGATGCTGTGATCAACAGTGGCAAATGCAGCTGTAAGGTCGAGGAGTACCAGGATCACAGACTGACCAGAGTCATCCGCTAGCAGAATGTCATTACAGACCCTTAGTAAAGCTGTCTCGGTGCTGTGCAGTTGTTTAAATCCTGACTGAAAAATCTCAAAAATTCCATTTACATTCAAAAACTTGGTTAGTTGACTAAAAACTATTTCCTCCAAGATTTTAGAAAGAAATGAAAGTTTTGAGATTGGCATGAAGTTTGAACAAGCTGCAGGGTCAAGTCTGGGTTTTTTAATTAATGGAGTTACCACTGCATGTTTTAAAACATCAGGAACAACCACACCTGTAGCCAAACTGCTGTTAATAATGGCAAGAACAGAGGGTCCAGTTGACGGTAGAATCTGTTTAAAAAATGCAGCAGGGATGGGATCAGCAGGGGAGCCTGAGGGTTTCATGTGACCAACGACCTCATTTAAAAATGAGAGTGAGATGGGGTCAAAGTGACTGAAGACTGCTGAGCAGGAGACAAGAACTGAAGGGTCGGCTGTGGAGTGTGGAATTGATAACCTAATTGACTCAACCTTTTCAACAAAATGTCTGACAAACTTATTACAGGTGTCAACAGAGGCCTCAGTGGTGGCAGACTGAGGCACGTTTAGAATGGTGTTAATGGTGTTGAAAAGAACACGGGGGTTGTGACTGTTTGAGTTGATAATTTTTGAGAAATATATATTTTTTTAGAACCATTATTGGCATACTGTTCTTATTATGTTATTACTTTTTTCAGTTTGGTGTAATTGTGTGAGAAAGACATCAGTGATGCAAATTGTTGTTTTATTTTTTAGGGGGTTTTGCCTTTTTACGGTACTGTTGTAGTCCAGTTTGTTTCATAGCAAATGCCTGTCTTGAACTGACTTTCTGTGCTCTTTAAAGAGAAGACATTATGACATGTAATAAAAAAGTCAGCTTATTGTGTCAAAATAAAATAGGATAAATATATATTAAAATTCCTGTAATAACTAATTTCTTAAACTGGACTATTTTTGGATAATAAACTAGTCTTTTGAAAGGTTTATATGTGTGTTAGAAACAATAAAGACATGTCCCATCATTGTGCTCTTTATGATGCTTTTAACAAGGTTTGAGCTACAAACTGCTTCAGTGAATCTGCTCTGCGTCTAACACATTAAAAAGGTGAGGTTTTACAATAATATATATATATAAAAAAACATGCTCAGAAAAATGCAATGATTCACTGCAGGGAGTGTGAGCTGCAGACTGAAAAACCGTTGATGATTTCATCAACGGACCATCATCTGTGACCTGTGGGGTATGTGTGGGCTGTGTTAGAGCCGTTAATGGGCCACTCCAAACAATATACTTTATTTTTTTGTTTCTGAGGAATACGGAGGTGTTGGCTATGATGGTTTTTCTTTCACATGCTGCCAAACAAGACACTTACAGAAAAGTGCAATGAGTAGGTTTCTGCAGCAAAGAAGAGAATTCTTTCGAGCTGTCAAATCAGACAAATGATCAGAAATGTTTTTGTTTGTAAACATTTGTGCGTTACTACTCTGCAAGTTCCCAACACAGAATGCACACATCATGTCTCATGTCTGAGACTTACTGGTCCTGTTTCCACGAGATGGACTCGTCAGATTTCATCATTCATTCAGTCATAGATGGGTGGATAGATTCACTCATTGATGTGAATCCATTTTGTCAGAACTTGTGTCCTTCTGACATTTAAAATCTGCATTTTTAGTCCATTTTTAGTTAAGGAGTGGTGGAACAGAGGTTAGAGAAGGGGGGCCTGTGATTGGAAGATCGCTGGTTCAACTCCCGGTACTGACAACATCAAAATGTGGGTGGGAAAGGTGAAGTGCCCACACCTGCCTCCACCCTCATTTGCCCCACTCTGGGCCCTTGAGCAAGGTCCTTAACCCCCACCATCTGCTCCTTTGGGCTCTAGAGTTGCATTCATGCCCAAAATATCCGACCCAGCCCCAACCCGTAGCCATGATTTCTGAACCCCACCAGACCCATCGAATTAACAGTAATTACAGGTCCAAACACCCCCCCCCCCTCCCGACATTTTTAATTAAGCTTTGACAGCTTAAATAGTTATTAAGGGTCGACAGACGTGCATGGCTGAATAAAAGGGGCAGAAGATAGGAGCTGAGGGGGTGTTTGTCTTTTCTTGGCTGTCAAGGCACATTCTGCATTATTCAGACACGGACCCTGCTCTGACGTGTCTGCTTTGGAATCTCACCTGTTTGGGTCATCGGCTGCACGCGTCCGCTGAGTGCAGCGGCTGAATGAACGTCCATTTGGGTGATGGATCGCTGCCTGGCAGTACAGTCCCATCTGAAGCTTAACTGAACTTTGTTTTAACTCTTTCAAGGCCCGTCAGCTCGCGGTGAAATGGCCACATGCGACTGGTGATTGTATGGCAAGCCATGTTGCTATATAATGGGATCGCGGCTGATCCACTGATGCAATCAAAAGTCAAACACCAACCCAGTCCGCCCATCCAGCACATTATTACGGCCCGGCCCAAATTTGGGTTGAGCTGGGCTTCGGGCCCGGGTTAAAAATTACATCTACCATGCGCCCTAGATAGCAGCTCTCAGCTCCACACAGAGGGCTGTGGTAGCTCGGTGGTCGGTGGTTGTGTCAGGAAGGGCATCCAGTGTAAAAACAATTGACAGGTCTTCATGTGACTTAGTTTGCTATGGCAACTCCTGAAGAGGGAGCAGCCGAAAGAAGGAAAAAAAGTTTTTTTTTCTAAAGAGACATTTTTCTTGTTTCTAGCAAATATTAATTTATTTTGCTTTGGGGGCGAAGTTTGTTTAGTGCCCACTGGCTTTAACTGCTTATTGCATCTGAGAATTATTACACGTTATAATTTGTTATCTGTAGTACCATTAGAAATACTTGTTGATTAAACTGAGCAGTCACAGGCCATCAACTCTCATCTTGTTGAAAACTAGACTCGTTTGCTTTTTTTTCCCCAGGTGACTTTCATGAAGAGAAAGTTTGGTTTGATGAAGAAGGCCTATGAGCTGAGTGTTCTGTGTGACTGTGAGATCGCCCTCATCATCTTCAACAGCTCCAACAAGCTGTTTCAGTACGCCAGCACTGACATGGACAAAGTCCTGCTGAAGTACACCGAGTACAACGAACCCCACGAGAGCAGAACCAACTCAGACATTTTAGAGGTTAGTGCAACAAAAATGGTAACTAATGCCAGAGGATGCTTAAAAAAACATCCTATTCATGTGCTGGCTGTTGTGGGGCCGACTTCAGTCAGGTGAAACTTGCAGATGAGTGCAGTATGTAAACATGGATCACATGCGTATTTGCATGCTGCATGCACCACGCTTTGCATCGACACTCGTGAAATGGTAGCACAGTTATGCAGAAGGACTTGATTGTTTTTGCTGTTTAGTAACAGAGAAAACATATTTTTAAAGTCCATTCTGTAAAATAGAGAAGGAAATGACTGCAAGTTCAGTTTTAGAAAGATCGGTTCCTGGTAAGTTAGACTTCGACTTTCTCTGTTAATTTGTTCCTGCTTTTGGTCTAGTTTCTCAGAAAATTTGTGGAAATTTGTTTTATTTACAAACTTGACTGAAAGCACTTTTTGTAGAGGGAAATTTAGTTTAACTTGACCAGATCGGTTCTTTCTACTGAATGCCCACAGCATACAAAGGAACACACCACTGATAATTATAATAAATAAGTATTCATTGTCTTACATAAACTGTATCTTTATCATGTGCTTGTAATTTGCACTGGTGTTATACTGGATGGTATTATAAATGCCGTCCATCCATTATCTTTACCCGCTTCTTCCTTTTCGGGTTGTGGGGTTCACTGGTCCAGCCATCACTGTGCAAGAGGCGGGGGACACCCTGGACAGGTCTCCAGTCCATCACAGGGATAGAAATGAGACAAACAACCATTCACTCTCTCACTCACACCTAGGGACAATTTAGAGTTACCAGTCCTCCTAACATGCATGATTTTGGTTTGTGGGAGTAAACCGGAGTACCCGGAGAAAACCCACGCATGCACAGAGAGAACATACAAACTCCACCCAGAAAGGCCCCCGGCGGGATTTGAACCGGGGCGACCTGTTCACTGCGAGGCGGCCCATGTCTTATAAATGTGTTTGTTTTTATAATTACAACAAGCGTAGTGTGTGTAACCTAACACTGGTTGCCATTTTCAGAGGATCTTATTTTGTTAATAAATTTGGGATGGATGAATGGAAATAAAATTATCCAAATGTAGATTGTTTATCAGAACTAAAGGGACTTTCTACAAACACTTGTGTTTGAGTGGAATCCTGTGCCATTAACAGAGTGTTATACCCACTTTCAATTGTCAGGTTCTCTTAGCAGTGCAATCCTGTTTGTTATGGCACACACGTTTCCACTGATAGTAAAAATAAAAGATCAACATGATGTATGTTTCAATAGTTCTTTTAAAGCTACTACTCCATATTTGTCTTAATGAGAGCCTGAGTTTAAAGCTCTAACCTTCTCTTATACAAACATACCAATGCATATTTGTATTTTTGTTACATATTAGGTAGAAAACACGTAATTCTCTGAAAAATTAACCTACATCTCCGGCAATTGGTTACCTCTATACTTCAATTGTTTGCTTTTTAACTTTGCATTTTTTTCTAAGTTTGGCCATTTTTCTTCTGTTGTCCTCGCCTTTAAGTAAAGTCCAAACCAGTCCCACATTAGCAACTTGCACTTCAGCATCTCCAGGTTCATGTTTGTGAAATGTATAAAATGCATGATACACCATGTGACAGGACATTATATTCAAGATTCTTTATTTGTCATTCACACCACATGTGGTACATGTGGTGGAATGAAATTATGTACACAGGGTCCCAGTTACATCCAACAAAAGTATTAAAATGTAAAAGAGAAACAGTAATAAGATCTCAAATATGAATTAAGAAAAACGTTAACTAAACACACTCTGCACTAGTAGCATAGAAACAATACGTCGAACAGCAGCACGAACATGAGTCTGTGTGAGCAGATGAGCATGAATGAACACAGCAACGTGAAACGGATCAGCAGCAACATGAACCAGATCAGCAGCAACATGAAACAGATCAGGAGCATGATGTGATTTTTCACAGTGAACATCCTGGTTAGAGATTCATGAGTTTAACAGCCTCAGGATAGAAGCTGTTCCTCAGTCTAGTGGTTCTACACTTAATGCTCCTTAACTTCCTTCCTGAGGGGAGCGGGGCACAAAGTGTGTGTGCTGGGTGAGTGAGGTCTTTCATGACGCAGGTGACCCTCTTCCTACATCTGGAGGTGAAGATGTCTGTGATGGTGGGGAGACTGACTCCAACAGTCTTCTGTGCAGCCTTCACCACTCTCTGCAAAGCTTTTCTTTCTGCAGCTGTGCAGCCTCCATGCCACACGTTGATGCTCGAGCACAGGATGCTCTCCACTGCACACCTGTAGAAGGAGGTGAGGACTGAACTTCCCAGACCAGCTCGTCTCAGCCGCCTGAGGAAGTAGAGTCTCTGATGA